TGCAATCAGCTGGTTTTCCTTAGATAGAAAACTTTGAATCAATCTGACTGGATGATCTGGTGAACTGGATCTATAAAGTGACCTGAGATGACATGATGTGAATTGGAGCTATAGAAATAAACTGAATAGAATTGGTTGAATGGACAGAGAGGAGACACTTACCAGGACGTAGGTGTCTTGCTCGTGCTTCTTTCTGTGCATGGGAACATCTGCAGAGACAAATATCCTCCAGTCAGAATAGAAGGACTGTAAACTAGAAATGAGCAAAGAATTCTGTCTCTGGGTTTCAGAGGGAAAATAAACTCCTTTATTTCTACTGCAGATCATAAAGCAGATTCAAAGGAAGAAGCCGACTGGAGAAACGTCTTCCTGCAGATGGTTTTCTTCACAGCATGACCTTCAAAGTTCGCTGAAGCATCTTCAATCTAAGCTGAAGAGTCAGCTCCTCTAAAGCCTGATTCATTTCTCCCACTGCATTAAACTGGGCTGACGAAGACTTCATCATCATCACCATCATCATCATCATCATCATCATCATCATCATCATCAGCTGTTGGGCTGCAGGGTCTCCCAGGCAGCTCATATGTTTGTGAACACAGTGACTCTGAACCCTGACAATAAACAGCTAATCCTCAGCTTCTAGAAAGAAAACATGAGAGGAATCCTGAGCTGGTTTATAGGAAATCTAGCTCATGTTTTCCTCACTTCCATTATTAATCTCTCAGGAACTAAAAGGAGAAAGAAATAATGCCAATATCCTAACATCGAGTAGACAGAGATCCCACCACACTGCAAAAATTACCCAGAAATAAGTCAACATTTCTTAAATTAAGTGTATTTCCCCTTATTTTGTGTAGGTAGAAATTTTTTTTTTTTTTACAAATAATTAGATAATATGCACTTGAAATAAGACAATGCAATAATCTTTAACTATTTTAAATGTAAATTCTCTTGTTCCATTGGCAAAGTGTCTCACTTTCCTCCTCGATTCAGAACAAATTCGCTTATTTTAAGGAAAAAATGACTAATTTAGATTTCAGTTTTTTGCAGTTCAAAGGATAAAAAGGGGAAAGCTCTTAAAATGTTTGTAGACGGCTTTTAAAAAGCTGTTCCCATTCAGCGCTAACAGGACTGTTTGTTGTCCTCCCTCTGCTCCAGCACAGACAGCGGCCAGCTGCCACCTTCTATCCCCGCTCCAGCTCTCTATATCTACCCAGCGACTCCGCTGGTCTCCCGCTGTGGCTCTAAGCTCCAGAGGGGCCACAGCTGGACGCCTCTTCTGGTTCTGGTTCTTGCTCTGATTTCCTGCCGTTCCTGTCTGAGCTCCAGAACACTGTTTCACTTTAATCCTGCGGTCCAGGTAGGTCGTTCTAACACCAGGACTACAAACCGGGTCATGGATAAGCTTTTAGCCCCTTTTCTGTAGTGTCCAGGATGAAATCGAATGATCGACACCAAAATTTTGACAATTGCTCCTGTCTCTGCTTTTTGGCTCATTTAGAATCCCCCCCTGGCTGCTTTAGAATGGCTAGCATAGAGCATGTCCGATAATGTCC